ACTGGTGGCTTATGCCTGTAATCCTAGCTACTCAGGAGACTGAGACCTGAGGATCGTGGATCAAAGTCAGTCTTGGCAGGAAAGTCCATGAGATTCTTATCTCCAATTAACTACCCCAAAGCCAGAAGTGAAGCTGTGGCTCAAATGGTAGAGCTCTAGCCTTGAGCAAAAAAAGCTCAGGGATAGCATCCAGGCCTTGAGTTCAAGCCCCAGGACCAACACATACCAAACAAACAAAAATAATAATAACAGCAACAACAAACCTCAAGTCATTGAGAAGAAATTGTACAGTAGAAATGCAATGTGATAGTGTCCAAAATGTTACCACAGGATTATATGGGTGTTTGCATAGGAAAACTTATGTTGAATATAATTGTGCCAGTCTGCTTTGATTAAAATAATTTCTCAAATGACAGATATGGTGATATATATTTGTTTTCTCAGCTACTTATGAGGTAGAGGGTCTTGGTCAGTGGTCATCTTAGGCAAAAGCATGAGACCCCAGCTGAAAAACAATCGAAAAGCAAAAGGACTGAGGGCATGACTCAAATGCTTGCCTAGCAAGTTTGAAATCTTGAATTCAACCCCTAGTACTGGGAATTCAGGAGAAGATTTATCAAGTAATGTAGAGGAAGAACATTTGCCTAGTATGCACAAAGCCCTAGAATCACCCCTAGGATCATGGGGGGATAAATATCCTGTCTGGTATAGTGGTATATTCCTGTAAGCCCAGCTACTTGGGAGGCAGAGCAGAGCAGTAAGTTAAAGATCTGTTTTTGAGACCTTGCCTCAAAAATCAAAATAGAAAGACAAAAGGGCCAGAGGCATAACTCAAGTGGCAGTGTACTTGCCTAGCCTGTGTAAAGCCTGTGTTTAATCCCAGCATTAAGAAAAAAGACCAAAGATTTCTATGATTTAACAGATACAATTCAAAAATTATCCTAGAAAATATTTGTCCAACTGAAATGTTTAGTAGTTCATTTACAAGAGGAAATATTCTCAGAATAACATGATTATATTTTGTTAAATCATTTGGAATTTCTTTTTAAAAAAACAAAACAAAACCAGCTTGGGAGGTTCAGTTTTCTAGCATGAACCCAAATAATTGAATGTCCACAGTTCTCTGTGGGAAGGGTGCTATGCCCTCTGGTGGTGAGAAACCTATTTTCCATGTACAGTCAGTGATGTAAAAAAAATAAATTTATGGTGTATTACTATCACTATAATCCAGTTTTTTTTGTTTGTTTGTTTGTTTGGGTCCGGTTGTGGGGCCTGAACTCTTGGCCTGGGCACTGTCCCTCAGCTCTTCAGCTCAAGCTAGCGCTCTACCACTTGAGCCACAGCGCCACTTCCAGCTTTTTTCTTTTTGCTTATGTGGTGCTGAGGAACTGAACCCAGGGCCTCATGTATGCAAGGCAAGAGCTCTACCACTGAGCCACCTTCCCAGACCCTATAATCCAGTTTTACACTATTCTTTTGGCCAGGCATTAGTGGCTCCCATCTGTAATACTAGCTACTCAGGAGGCTGAGATCTGAGGATCATGGTTTGAAGCCAGCATGCTCAAAAAGTTCATAAGACTCTTATCTCCAATTAACCAGCAAAAAGCTGCAAGTAGAGCTGTAGTAGAGTGCTAGCCTTGAGTACAAAAACCGAAGGTCAGTGTCCAGGCCCTGAGTTTAAGCCCTAGGACAAGCACAATAAGAGAAGAAAAAGAAGCCAGGCGCCTGTGGCTCATGCCTATAATCCTAGCTACTTAGGAGGCTGAGATCTGAGGATTGTGGTTCAAAGCCAGCCTGGGCAGGAAAGGCCATGAGACTCTTATCTGCAATAAACTGCCAGAAACCAGAAATGGTGCTGTGGCTCAAGTGGTAGAGCACTCACCTTGAACTGAAGAACTCAGGGACAGCGCCCAGGCCCAGAGTTCAAGCCCCATGACTAAAAAAAAGAAAAAAGGAAAGAAAAGTGCCGAGAAGGTAGCTCAGTGGTAGAGCACTTGCCTTGCATGCATGAGGCCCTGGGTTTGATTCCTCAGCACCACATAAGCAGAAAAGGCTGGAAGTGGCACTGTGGCTCAAGTGATAGAGCATTTGCTTTGAGCTGAAAAGCTCAGGGATAGCGCCCAGGCCCAGAGCTCAGGCCCCATGACCAACAAAAAACGACAACAACAACAACAACAAAAAACAGGGGCTGGGAAGGTGGCTCAGTGGTAGAGCGCTTGCCTTGCATGCATGAGGCCCTGGGTTTGATTCCTCAGCACCACATAAGCAGGCTGAAAAAAAGCTGGAAGTGGCGCTGTGGCTCAAGGGGTAGAGCACTAGCCTTGATCTGAAGAGCTGAGGGACAGCGCCCAGGCCCAGAGTTCAGGCCCCACAACCGGACCCCAAAAAACAAAACAAAACAAAAAAACCCTATACTCTGTACGATACTCTGTGTTTGAGTGTGTGTGGGGCTGGAACTCAGAACCTTGCACTCTCATTAGGCTTTTTTGCTCAAGACTGGCCGTCTACCACCTAAGCCACACCTTACTTACAGCTTTTTGATGGTTAATTGCATATAAGAGTCTCGAGGAGCTGGGTGCCAGTGGCTCAGGCTTATATCCTAGCTACTCAGGCGGCTGACATCTGAGGATCTTGGTTCAAAGCCAGTCACGGCAGGAAAGTCTGTGAGACTCTTATCTCTGATTAACCACCAGAAAACTGGAAGTAGACCAGTAGCTCAAAGTGGTAGAGAACCAACCTTGCGCAGAAAAGCTCAGGGACAGCACCCAGGTCCTGAATTCAAACCCCACAACTAACAACAGAAAGAAAGAAAGAAAGAAAGAGAGAGAGAGAAAGAGAGAGAGAGGGAGGGAGGGAGAGGGAGGGAAGAAGGAAGGAAAGAAAGAAGGAAGGGAGGGAGGAAGGGAAAGAAAGGAAGAAAGAAGGAAAGAAAGAGGAAGGAAGGAAGCAAGGAAGAAAGGAAGAAAGAGAGAGAAGGGGAGGGAGGGAAGGAGGGAAAGGGAGAAAGAAATAAAGGGGGCTGGGAAGGTGGCTCAGTGGTAGAGTGCTTGCTTTGCATGCATGAGGCCCTGGGTTCAATTTCTCAGTACCACATAAACAGAAAAAGCCTGAAGTGGTACTGTGGTTCAAGTGGTAGAGCACTCACCTGGAGCTGAAGAGCTGAGGGACAGCGCCCAAGCCCAGGGTTCAAGCCCCACGACTGACAAAAGAAAGTAGAAAGAAAGGAGGGAGGGAAAGAAAGAAAGGGAAAGGAAGAAGAAAAACAGGAAAAAGATTCATTTTAACTTTTGGTATGAAATTAGAGACCTAATATTACTATTATTTTCTTCTTTCTCTATTGATTTGAACTATCTCCTTTACCATGTTAAATACACACATACACATACACATTTCTATTTCTATTTCTAGTCTCCTAACAATCACAAGGTTTTATTTGGCTTATATAACTTTCAGAATTGGGCAACCTGGAATGAAAATTCAGACTTTTAACCCCCCCCTTTCTCTCCAACCAGCAACAATTTTCTAAAGGGCAAGTTTATAATGAGCATAAAAATCATAACCACACTTTCAGTTGGTCTGGGACAGTGCCTATTGTTCTGGTATGATTTTTGTCTTCTTTTACTCTTCTCTTCCTTTTCCCTAATTTTTCAGTATATTTGAAAAGAGATTCCGACATTGAAAGCTAACAACCCAGTCTTCACCGTTTTTGAGGGGATGCTTCCAGGTGCTATGCATGTGTTTATTTTTCAAATCCAACATTTCCATGCAGTAGTTTATAGTTCTGTCCCCACTGGGTGAGGTGGCTCCTGCCTGTAATCCCAGATCTCCTAGAGGTAGAAATCAGATGTTCTTTCACTCTTTGGGCAGTACATTACAGCCTCCTTAGTGGCTAGTCAAAGTGTTTACCATATCCTAATTCAGCACATTCAACAACTTTCATTGGTTACAATATTGCCCCTTAGGAAGGGGAAGTGGGAAGAGTCAAAACCACCTTGCCTCAGAAATTTGTCAAAAGCAGTATGCTGGTTTAAAGAACAACTGCTAGGAGCCGGGTGCTGGTGGCTCACTCTTGTAATCCTAGCTGCTCAGGAGGCTGAGGTCTGAGGTTCGTGGTTCAAAGCCACCCTGAGCAGTAAAGTCCGAGAGAGTCAACTCCAATTAGCCACCAGAACACCACAAGGCTCAAGTGGTAAATCTCTCGCGTACAGTGAAAGAGCTCAGAGACAGTGCCCAGGTCAAGAGTTCAAGCCCCATGACCCACCGAACAACAACAAACTGCTAGAGAAAAATTAGGACCGAGTTCTGAGAGATGATGACACAATTTACTAATCTCTTTTCCTTCCGTGAATTCATTGAATTCATTTAACTTCACAGCCGCTTATCCAGTTTCATGCCCATCCAGATAGTTAGTGTGGGAGAAGTTGTCATCCCCTGCGGACTGCATTCCAGAACAGGGTCAGAGGGGGTTCTGCTCACCCAGCACCCGCACCGCTACCCCAGGCATGGGTCCCAGGCACGGGTCCCAGGCTCGAAGCACAGCAGGCCCCGTAGGAACTATTAGCTGATCCGGCTCACGGGAACTGAAGACAGTGAACTAAGGAGGACACTGCAGCCCAGGGGCAGAATGCGGTGACTTGGCTGAGGTCGGCAGCGAATCGCAGGCAGAGAGAGAAGCAGGTGGAAGTCAGACTCAACGGCCTGAGACAGTGCAGCTCCAGCAGGCCTTCATTGGCCAGTGGGCTCCATTCTAGGCCAAATGGACTAGAGATGGAAGAGTGTGCACGCGGGGCCTCGTCGTCGTCGGGCCGATCCTCTGCGGGAAGGCTAGACTTACGAGTAATAGAAAAAATCAAAGAAAGAAAGTCCCGCGTCGCTCTGTCACCTGCGCGGCCTCGGGAAAGGACTACATTTCCCAGCGAGTCCCCGGGCGCGCACGGTCCCTGCCACGCGGCCTGCGCCTCCTCCATCAACCCGCTGGGGGCGCTGCGCCGAACCCTCCGCCGCCCCGTAGAAATCGACGCGGCCCTAGGGCCGCTCGCTTCCTGTTTGTCCGACGAGGCGACATGGCGGCGGCGCCGGCGGTGGCTGGGGCTGGGGCCAGCCGGGGGAGACGGTCGGCAGCAACAGTGGCGGCGTGGGGTGGATGGGGAGGCCGGCCGCGACCCGGGAACATTCTGCTGCAGCTGCGGCAGGGCCAGCTGACCGGCCGGGGCCTGGTCCGGGCGGTGCAGGTACGAGGCTGGCCCGGAGGGGCGGGGCGGGGCGGACCCGGCGGGAGCTGGCCGGGGGCCGGGGAAGAGGCCTTCCCGGGCCGCCGCCGGACGGGGCCGGACCCCCTGTAGCCAGCCACAGGGCCTCCTAGTGGGCCTCCCGGATGCTGTCACCTTCGGTGGGACCCCGGGCAGCGGCTGGCTTGAGGTCTCGGGTTAGGGGCCGAGTGGGTTCGGGCTGCTGTGGGCATTGATGGCGTGGACGAGTCCTGGGCCCAGCTTCTGGATCCTCCCTTCCCTGCGCCACGTCTGCACGTCTGGGGAACCCTGTCGAGTTTGCTTCATCCTCAGTGGGCCTGGCGTTTCTTCTTTTGATCATTGGGTGGTGGGGTCGGGGAGGGGGTGGTGGGTAGGGGAGGGCTGTCCTCATTTGCAGCCCCCAAACGGTCCCCAAGCGTTATCTCCAAATGTCATTTTCTCCCGGAACCCTTTCCTTCGCAGTCCTCCTTCCTCGTTTCTCAAGTACGTCCCCATTGTTACTCGATCAAACGCCGGAATTCGTGTCGTTCACCTTACTTTCTTAGTCTCTAATTACATATTTCTTTGTTGTCCGCCTTTTTCTTGCCCATTACATTAGGCTGAGTTCCAGCGGGTGCTGGAGGCTTGTCTGTGTAGAGCGACGGTCAAAACCCTGCTCTCCTTGGCTTGGGAAAGTTGCCCTTCAGTGCCTTAGTTTCCACATTTGTTAGAAGGGGATGAGAATTAGCAACCTATAAGGTTGCTGTGAAATTCACAGGCCACTTGTGTAAAATGTCAATGCATTTCTGGTACTTACTGGGAGAAGAAGGTTAATAAGTCAATCTTATCCTTAGTGCCTGGCTTTGTAATCTGTGCCCAATATAAGATCAGTGATTTTTTTTTTTTTAATGTATGGAAGATATTGCTTTAGGCTAAAGCAGGATGGATATAGAGGTAGCCTCTTCACTCTTCTTGTGGTCCCAGAACTTACTTTGTAAATATACCTGTGAAACAGTAGCTTGATTTATTTTATTTTTATTAGCTTTACATTAGTTATACAGAGGGGGATTTCATTATTAGATTTTCACAATAATCTTATCCATATTAGCATAAATAAAAACATTTTGCATGAAGAAGGATGGGAATTGGGTGACTGGAGGAGAGAACGAGGAGTGAGACTTTCACACTGTGTAACTTTACATATTCAATTTTGAACCATACATATTGAATTTTGAACCATCTGAATGGCTTCTCAAATGACTAAAAAGATAAAGGCTAGAAGGTCTGTGTTTGTGAAGAGATGTAGATGAAGGAGCCCTTCTGGGTGACATACTTTCTCAGACATCACCCTGGAGGAACAATGTTTTTCCCCTATGCATTCCTATCTGTCTTAAAATAATTCTGGAAATACTCTTTAGGTACTGAGCTGAGTATGCTAGGGATAGGCATGCTTAGGGGATGTCAGAAAGGGACCTAACCAGTGCGGGGGGGGGGGGGGGGGGGGGGGGGGGGGGAGAGAGAGAAGAAGAAGAGAGAAGAGAGGACTCTTGGCTTTTTCCACCCAAGGCTAGCGCTTACCCATTTGAGCCACAGCTTCACTTCCAGATTCTTGCTGGTTAATTGGTGATAAGAATCTAATGGGGGGGCTGGGAAGGTGGCTCAGTGGTAGAGCGCTTGCCTTGCATGCTCGAGGCCCTGGGTTCGATTCCTTAGCACCACATAAGCAAAAAGAATAAAGCTGGAAGTGGCGCTGTGGCTCAAGTGGTAGAGTGCTCGCCTTGAGCTGAAGAGCTGAGGGACAGCGCCTCGGCCCAGAGTTCAGGCCCCACAACCGGACGCAAAAAAAAAAAAAAAAAAAAAAGAATCTAATGGGATTTCCTATCCAGTCTGGCTTGGAACTGCAGTCCTCAGACCTCAGCCACTTGGATAGCTAAGATATAGGCATGAACTACTGGACCCAGTTCTAACAAACATTTAATGAGCACGTAAACTTGTACAGGTGGTTAGTGTACTCCTATACACCCTTTCCCCCTCCCCCAAATAATCTGTCTACATAGAATAATAAGGAACTTTAGAAATTCCTTAGCATCATGAATGAGGCAATTTAGGAAACTAATTTGTTTCCACTGCTGAAAGGTTTCAGCTGAGTGTAACTAGAGAAACTAGTTACTAGGCTACTAGAATATATTCTTGAGCCTACTTTTATCATTGTGGTCGCTGATCTTTGTATGCAGGAATAGGAGCTATTTCAGGGTTGAGTTAGGGATTCCTAGACTATCATGAGGATAAGGAGACCTTCATTGCACATATATTACCTAGTAACTTTTTTTTTTCTTACCACACCCTCCCTCTTACCTCTCCTACTCTAGAATAAATTGTTTTCTTACTTATATTTGCTTAGCAGAGTAAACATATCGATGTTGCATGTAGTATAGAAAAATAACAGGTTTTTACTTTTTTTAAGTATAAATATATACATATACATATGTTTGTGTGCAACATAAACTTAACCGACTGTACAATTCAGCAATGTTGAGTGTATTTACATTGTTGTGCATCTAAATCTCTAGACCTTTGTTTTTTTGAGTGGGGGAAACACTGGCCCTGATCTTTTGCTTAAGGCTAGGGCTCTATTACTTGTGCCACAGCTCCACTTCTGCCTTATTTTATTGGAGACAAGAGTCTCATGGACTTTCTTTCCCAGGCTAGTTTTGAATCTCGATCCTCAGATCTTAGTCTCCTTAGTAGCTAGGATTATAGCCATGAGATATCAACACTCATCTCTAGAACTTTTCATCTTGCAAATCTGAAAACTCCTCACTCCTCCCTCCTTCAGCTGATGGTAATCATTCTTCTTTCTACTTTTTGTTCCTGTGAGTTTAACTACTTGATTCCTTTTTGTTTTTTTTTTTTGGTTGGTTGTGGGGCTTGAACTCTGGGTGCTGTCCCTGCACTAATCAGCTCAAGGCGAGCGCTCTACCACTTGAACCACAGCGCCACTTCCGGTTTTCAAGTGGTTTATTGGAGATCAGAGTCTCACAGACTTTCCTGCCCGGGCTGGCTTTGAACCGAAATCCTCAGATCTCAGCCTCCTGAGTAGCTAGGATTACAGGGGTGAGCCACCGGCGCCTGGCTTTGATTCCTTATTTTTGTTTCTTGAGGCGGGGTCTCACCGTGTAGCACAGTCTGGCCTTGAACTTGCAGTCTTCCTAATTCAGCCTTCCTAGTGTCACCATGCCCAGCCAATTTGACTAGATGATGATGTCATGTAAGTGGAACCATTGCAGTGTTGGTCTTTTTGTAAAAGTTAGGTTTATTTCGCTTAGCATTATGTCATCAGACTTCATCCATGTTGTAGAGTTCAAGCCCCATGACCAAATAAATAACTAAATAAAACTTTAATATAGCTGGGTGCCAGTGGCTCATGCCTGCAATCAGGAGGTTGAGGTTTAAGGATTATAATTCTAAGCCAACCCAGTCAGTAAAGTCCATGAGAATCTTAGCTTTAGTTAACCACTCCAAAAAAACCAGAAATAGAGCTGATGAAAAGCAATTCCTCTTCCACTAAATCTGATCTTCCCTATGTTTTTCCTGTCTCCCTAAAAGGGAAATAAGGGAAGCCTATAGAAGTGTACAGAGTACATGATTTAGAATGAAACTGCCCTACTTGGCTCAAATGGTAGAGCTCTAGCTTTGAGCACAAAAAAATCAGGGTCATTGATCAGTGCCTGAGTTCAAGCCCCAGAACCCACACCAAAAAAAAAAAAGTGCTTAGGGGCTGGGAAGGTGGCTCAGTGGTAGAGCGCTTGCCTTGCACGCATGAGGCCCTGGTTCGATTCCCCAACAACACATATGCAAAAAGAAAAAAAGCCAGAAGTGGCACTGTGGCTTAAGTGGTAGAGTGCTAGCCTTGAGCCGAAGAGCTGAGGGACAGCGCCCCGGCCCAGAGTTCAGGCCCCACGACCGGAACCAAAAGAAAAAAAGAAGAAAAGTTCTTTATATAGCACGTGTTAAATGTATTTGATATTTAGTAAATAAGTGCTCTCAGCTAATAATTAAACTGGGCTTCCTAAGAGAATAATTTTCTCTATATCTCTTGTATCTGCAGAGCGTGAAACCATACCAGCCACTTGATACTAAGGATTCAGGAAATTGCTTGAATTGAAACTTTGTATAGCCGTATATATAGTCTATACTTACTCTCCAGCAATCTCAAGACTTTGTGTGTGTGTGTGTGTGTGTGCGCGCGCGTGTGCACACGGGCACGTGTGTGCGTGTGCGTGCACATGCGTTAGTCCTGGGATTTGAACTCAGGACCTGGGCACTGCCCCTGAGCTTTTTTGCTCAAGGCTAGGTCCCATTTGAGCTACACCTCCACTTATGGCTTTGTTGTATATGTGTGGTTAATTATAGGTGAGTCTCATAGACTTTCCTGCTTGGTCTGGCTTTTGAAATGTGGTCCTTAGATCTCAGCCTCCTGAGTAGCTAGGATTAAAAGTGTGAGCCACCAGTGCCAGTCCTAAGACTTTTAAGAGTTTCAGAGTAAAATTGCCTAAGATTTGAAACCTGGCTCTCATATACACTTGCTTTGTGTCTTTAGGCGAGTTATTTAATGTATGTTTAAGTTATTTAAGTATGCTGTAAAGATGAGCTAGTATTGATACTGTATTAATTGTGTTGTTATATTACTACTAATAAGTCTATTGGGATGGGTCCCAAGTCTGTATTTCCTTTGCTGATTTCTCTCTTTAGTTTCAGATGTGTAAATATATCCAAGTGTTTGTCCAACTTTCCACATAGATATGTGGCAGGGATCCCAAACTTCATGTGATGAAAAACAATTCCTCTTTCCTATGTGTTCCCTGTCTCTCTAAAAGAGAAATAAGGGAAGCTTATAGAAGTGTACAGAGTTCATGATTTAGAATGAAACTATCCTACTTGGATTGTAGTATGTCTTATTTTCTTCTCTTCATTCTGTCCTCTGTCAAGGTAATATGCAAGAA